CTTCTGTTTATCTTGTTGGGCAGCGGATTGATATGCTTCCGAAGCCCCTGACTGAAGGTGCTGATGCTTCTTACATGGCGTGCATATGGATTATTGAATTAACCAAAATCTGAAATTAAATGTTGCTGTTTTATTTGAAGAAAAGACTGCCAGTTTGTAGTATCTGGATTGACTATCGATTTCTCTTATTTTGGTTTCCAGATGTTTGTTCACTTCGTGCTGATGTTGAAAGGTTGGCATTCTCTGTCATTTGGGTAAGTCTAGTTCATGACAACTTGTTATTTCGATTAGCACTAGTTAGATATGTGTTGCATAGGATATTTTGATTGAGGTGTTACCTTTTCAACTGTTATCTATATATGTTTGGCATATGGAGCAAGTCCACAGTGCCCTCCTCCTAGAACTATGAACTCAGGTAGTCCACAGTGGAGGACACAGGCCCCAGGCTGGCTGTGCTGCAGCCCGGGTCCTTGGCCAAGCAAATCATGGTAAATCACCTAAACAATGAAGGATTATTAGGCTCTAGTAGTCTATTTGTAGCAATTTCATGTGTATCTCAGCCTGTGGCCTAGCTTGATCTTGGATCCTCCCCTGGTATTCCATATTATACCGACCACCACATGGTTTCCCCTCATATAGCAGAACAATACTGCTTGCAAAAATGGTGCTTTCACCTTTTGGTTTTGCGACATGATATTACTTGTTGCACTTGCTGCCCCATGTCTACTGTTCTGAACCATGATTTATTAATAACATTACCTTTTATGGCTTTCCCCCACAGTATTGTTCTGCTATATGAGGAGAGCAATTATTTTCATCTGTCAGGCATTTAAATAAGCGTACTGATATTGACGTTTGGTATTTGGAACATTATGTTTGCAGGAAATGACTCCTGATGCTGATGTCATATCCACAAGATATACAAAGAGTGTTATCAAATCTTGTGCTGCAATGTCTTATGTCGAAGCCCAGGCAAGAATGGATGACAGGTGCCTTCTGCATTGCACTTTCACAGAATATTACTATACATTTAAGTCAACTTTAAGTTGGTCTAATTAGTCAAGAATGCACCAGTGAACTGATTGCTTTCTTTTGTTTATTTTTCAGCCGTTTAGTTGATCCACTTACTGTAGACTTGCGGAACTTAAATTCATTGGCAAAGGTCAGCTATCGTGTTTCACTCTTATCACACTATACCATCTAGTATTTAATGCCAATAACATCACCTTATATATTCATGCTCTGATTGCTTATGCAGATCATGCGACAACGACGTTGTGAAAGAGGAGCTCTGACTCTTGCTTCTGCAGAAGTAAAATTTGAGATCGATAGTGAAACTCATGATCCTCTTGACATAGGTATGAGGTCCTGTAATGCTTATCGGTGTTATATTTCAGAATTCGCCATAAAGTACTTACATAGTTACATCAAATTCAATAGGAATTTATCAAATCCGCGAGGCAAATCAAATGATTGAAGAGTTTATGTTGGCTGCGAATGTTTCTGTTGCTGAGAAGATTTTGAAACACTTCCCCTTATGTTCATTGCTAAGGTACATATTGTTCAATTTTTTATCTTGTCACATTCCAGATCAGGTTGAAGTTGTGCACATCCAAAGATATTGGAAAAGCCCATGGAACCACACTGTGTCCATTAAAATGAATAGAGTCAGTGAGGATCTGCCAACCATTTGCCAACTTATTTGTGACCTTTCTTTTCAACCCTTTAAAGTTATATGTAACCATACTATACTTAATATCACAAGTTGGTCTAAACCTGAGGTAGAATTCCAAAATTATCATGACTGTCATAACAGACCTTAAGGCTGTATATCTCTGAAGAGTCTTGTTACACACTGAAATGAGCTGTAAAATTATTGTGCTGCTTCTAAACATATCGCATAAATATGATCACTTTTGCACGCAGTACCAATACCGATATTTTGGCAATCATGTAAACTGATTCAAGTTTGTGTACCACTCTTGTTTCTTAAAAGTTAAAACCACCAGTTCAAAAGTTCATTTGTGACTAGGCTAGAAGGTACTACCTAAGAACACATCAATCTAATATCATCATTCCGGTCTAAAAAGTGTATTCAATATCATGCAAATTTGTGTTTCTAAATTGAAAGTTTGTCGATTGTTGGCTGTTTCACACTGTTTGTCTGCATGCTGCTTCTGCTAATCTGTTGATGTCTGTTATAATGCAAATCAATCTTTAATAACTGTGTTCTCATTGAACATTACCATTTTTACTTCTTGATCTTTTCTAAGCCTGCAAATTTTCATTTTGTTGGTAACAGGCGTCATCCTAGCCCAACAAAAGAGATGCTTGAGCCATTACTCCGTACCACCTTTTCTGTTGGCCTCAATCTGGATGTATCATCCTCAAAGGCATTAGCTGAATCACTTGACAACGCAAAGGTGAGACCGTTATGTATCATTTTACTCTTTGGATGCTTCATTAATATCATTATATATGATAATAGACTCTTATGCTGACCCTTTATTACTGCATGACATGCAGAGCAATGACCCATACTTCAACAAGCTTATTAGAATTTTGGCGACTAAATGCATGACACAGGTAAGATTAGGAAATGAAGTCCCTATTCTAATTTACTGATTTCAAAGAATCCATATAACTTTCCCTGTTGCAACACACAGGCAGTTTATTTCTGCAGTGGAGATTTGACCTTTTCTGAGTATTACCATTACGGGCTTGCAACTTCTCTTTACACTCATTTCACCTCTCCCATTCGCAGATATGCAGGTTTGTTTTCCATCCTTAGATGCTCTGATGCATGAAAATAATATCTTTGATGGGTCGAATGTAATTGAGAACCTGAAGCCATTCAAGCCATTTACTTGGCTATTTTCTTCACCTGGCCTTTCTAGCTAATTAGCCTTTCTCGATGATTGTGTCTAAACCTAATCTAACCTTTCTTTTTGTTACCTGCGCATAGCATGAGTGAAACTGTTAGAAAAAGGTTACTGTGATTTTCTACCTATTAGCTGACTGACCACAAAGACAGTGATGTTTGCCATTGATGATACTACTTTTCCCTTTGACGAGAATTTATTTTACTTACATAATAACCCCAGGGATAATAAGCATTAGCTGGATCCTGCAGTACAAATAGTACTCCCTCCGTTCCAAATTATAAGTCGCTTTGACTTTTTTGGTTCATCCATTTTGCTATGTATCTAGACATATTATTTATCTAGATTCATAGTAAAATGGATGTACCAAAAAAGTCAAAGCGACTAATTTGGAACGGAGGGAGTAATTAATAATATTGACAGAAAATAGCAAGTTGGTGTAGTTTATGTATCTTTACATCATCCTTTGTTGCTATTGGTGTATGCCTGGAATAAGAATCGATAATACATGCCAGTGGGCTTACTTTGTGTTTCTAAGTGCTGTAAGGAAATAGAACTAATGGCAAAGGGACATATTAGCTTTGGCCCTGTAGTTGATAGCATGATAGCCTGCTATTAAATCCGCTTTTTTGTTAGTATAAGATATACCTTGGGACAGTGAATCCGATCAATTGACCTTTCGCATTGACCTTTCGCATGTATATGACAAAGATAGTGTTGTAGCGTTGTGTGGAGTGCCATCACACAGTGATAGTGTAGTCCTGCAGATGAGATCGGTAGCATACATCCTTTGATATTTCATAGCATAGTTGATCATGCAGTCCTAGGCAGCCTGTAGAAGTTTTTGAAAGAAATGTAGCCTGTAAAAGTATTGCAGCACATATTAAATTGTGAGGATGATCCTGATTCTACATCCTTTTGTTGCAGATGTTGTTGTTCATAGACTGCTAGCTGCAGCTCTAGGTATTGCAAAGCTCCCACCAATCTTTCAGGATGGTCCACAACTTACAGGAATCGCTGACAGTAAGAAATGAGAAATCAAATCCAGTACTTGAGCATTTATTTTATGTGTCACTATTTTTTACTGATACTGTTATTGTGCCAGACCTGAATTACAGACATCGAAATGCCCAGATGGCAAGCAGAGCATCAGTGGAACTTCACACCCACATATATTTCAAGACAAGGTACATATCTTGATTGTAGATGACATAAGTGTGTGGTAGGTTAGAAGTAGATAATATTGAAATGTGACAAGGATGGTGGCAAAAAGTAACGACATCAAGTCTGTTCAAGCCTTAAGGATTGTGTACATTGTTTTCTGACTGCCTAACTCTTTACCGTGCAGGCCAACTGACACTGAAGCTAGGATAGTAAAAATCAAGGCAAATGGTTTCATAGTATTTGTCCCAAAGTATGGTTCTCTCCCTTCCAACCTTCTCTGTGGACTCAATGTTATGCCCTTCGTTGTTTTTACTCCTTTCTCTAATCAGGTTCGGCATAGAAGGGCCCATCTACCTTACTCCAAAGGGAGACAAAGGTGGTGATTGGGTAGTCGACGAGGTGCACCAGAGAGTAACCAAGCCCGGAACAAACATCAGCTATGGTGTCCTCCATACTGTCAGGATTCATATGGAAGTAGTTGAACCTCAGCCTCATCGCCCAAAGCTGCAACTCACCCTCATATGAAAAATGTACAGCTGAACTGTAACATTAGTGTTTTCCCAGCCTCTTACACCTCCAGCCCATTCTTTAATTCAACATTGGTGTGATTTTCGATTTGTAACACTAACCACATGGTCAGGATTTTGTAGTGTCAGATAGTTTTTCTCAATACATGGGTGGTCTCTATGCATGGAAGCTTAGTTTCTGAATGGTACTCACAGCAGAGAAAATATACAACGTTGTATTCTGTTAATGTGATAAGAGATATTTATGTTAATGTGACAGGCTTGTTATTATACGAACCATTGATTTACATGGAAATAAAACATTATTTTGCATGGCCAAATCTTGCTAATGTTTACCATTACTTAAAATGGTGCTGATACATTTTATGTTCCTCATTTGTCTATGCTATATCATCTCCCCCATTCAGCTAGATTCAGTACTGGTAGCTCACAGTACGAGTGACATGAACACCGTCGACCAAAGCGTGAGAGCAAGGGCTGCAACTAGGTGCGTCCACAGGAAGATGATAGAGCACTCCTCTTCCCCCACATCAAACAGCTGAGCTATTGTGCCTGAAGTAGAGAAACAAATGATCACAGGTGAGACACAAGGGCATCTCTGATGCTGAATTGTGTTAATAGAATTTCCATTACCGACGCTCATGGCTGGAGGAACTGTGGATTGCAGCAGGAGCACGTAGCGGTACAGGGGAGATTTCGGTAGCAACCCAAGTTTGGTGGCTGCTGTGACGATGCCGATTCCGCAGATTGGGAGGAGAACAGACAATTATTGATATGACCACAATGGGCTTCACCACCGTCTTGCCTATACCTGGTCGCTCAGCAATCCATTTAGAAACATAAACAATGGATAGCATGATACTGCATGAGGTCATGGCGATGAGATGTATCTTTGTTAGATTTCCACCGAGAATCAGCACCGTGCATGGAATTGTAGCGTCCCTGCTCCAAAGTTTGACATGTCATCTAATCGGTTCACAGTTTTTTTTAAAGATAGGAATACATATATATTTGAGGTTGATTTCTACGGAGTGTAGGAAATGTAGTGCTGACGATCACACACTCACCCTAATAATTTGGTAGAATCCTGGATTACTCGGAGAGGAGAACCTTCTTCAGTAACAAGTGATTTCACCTTGTCTACTGCACCCACACTGAATATCAGGACCTGCCACGGTAACATCACACGATGATAGTAGCAGTTAGTTTTGAGTTCTACTGTCCACTTTCTGTAATGACATCATACCAAAGTAGTGAAAAGCTTATATATGGCATACCGCAGCTACACTTGGCGGTGACCCTAGTTCTTTCAGTATCTCCACCACCAACTCCTCTGCTCTTCTCAAGTAGTAACCCCAGAAGCTAGCCCTAGGATCATTTGGAAGCAAGGGAGAACTAACCTGCTGACCAATCCAAAAAATAAACTAGAGTTTGTACATCACTGATCTCAGTAGAATATTTCACTCACCGAGTTGCTTCCAACATCACCGGATAAATCTTCAGAGGACAATGGAAGAAAAGCGACATAATCGCCACCTGCATCCTGTCCAAAATGTTCTTTGCTCGTGCCAGTCAGAGCGTCTTCCTTACGCATTTTTGCCTTGTACAGCGTAGCGGATCTCTTCACGACACTGTAGCTGTGCGTCCATATATAGAAGTTGCCGAGCTGCGTGAGGAACAGCTAACATTCTGAATCCAACCAACCCTTCTTGGTCTTTGAAAGATATACTAATAACTAAGTAGAACATGGGCTCACCGCCATTGACAAGGACACATAAGAGAGACCAAGAGAGTTGCAGGTGCTGGCGTCTCCGAAAGGGCTGCCCTCCTCATTGCAAATCGCTGGAACAATCATCAGAGGAATTGTTCCCCAGAATATGCATGTAAACACATAGTAAACCTTATCTGAAGAGCAGTAATGACAAACAAAAACTCTACATCCTCGCAAGAGAAACTTCTTCTCCCTGTGACATGTATGTCTTGCCTGATGAGCAGCAAGCAATGACAAGTCCCTGGAGATGTTCTTCCGGTCTGAAGGCCTTGACAGACACCCACCCTAGAACTGCTCCGATCAGGAACACGATGCCCATGTTCACTGGCATGAACCACCTTAAACCATCACGTTCAGGTTCAGCAACAACCGATCAAATCCCAAAACATTCATCGAATCAAAGCGTGTAAACTAAAGCCCTGCAAGCGAACTCGAACCAGGAAACGATGTCCTTGAGCGTGACAGTACTCGACAAGCTGGAGAAGACGAGCGACGGAACGAAGACAATATAAACAACCTGCGAACCAGTAAAAATGCAGCCAGAAGCACACACATTCCGTCGTTCAGCGTAGTATTATATATGCAGCTAAAACGACTGAATGTTACCTTATTGATGTTCCTCCGAGCATCGGCCGTGAGAACGTCGAGACGGCTGGATGCAAGAAGAGCTCCGAGCAATCCTACGAGGAGGACCTGCAGAACCGGAAGCCATGCTACGACGAGCAGAGACCAGAACCTCATCTTGGCTATGGCTGGCAGCCTCAGACTTCGCCTGCCAAAAACATTCGGAATTCCCTGAAATTCAGGATCGCAGTGAAGGCACTCCAACGAAGCGGAAGAGGATGGCGACGATCAGAAAGGAAACCTAGTAGTATCTTATAGGTGTCTGTATTGTCTCCAATGGACAATGATATTTGCTGGAAGAAATGAAATGTGACGAAGGATCTGAATTGCCTGTAATCTGGAGAGGGGTGGTCGTGTGGGAGAAGAAGAAATGTGCTGTTGCGAATTGCGGCGCAGCCGCTTAAGACGGTTGTGGCTGGAAAAAAAAATTATGCGGCGGCGTCGCATATATAGATGGCCAACGGGCCGTGCGGGCCCGGCACGGCCCGACGTCGTGCCGGGCCGGCCCGACGTCGTGCCGGGCCGGCCCGATGGGGGTCGTGCCTGCCGTGCCGTGCCTCCACGGGCTTCGTGCATGGCCTATGGCCCATGGCACGGCCCGTGGGCCGTCTGACCGTGCCGTGCCGCCCGTTGAGCACGGCCATTTTTCCCGTGCCGTGCCGGCCCACAGCCCGACAACCAAAAAACATCTCATTTTCACCAAGTGTTTGAACCACTTCTTCATTTTCACCAGTTTTGAACAAGATTCCATCATTTTCACAAAAGCTCACAGATTCACATTCACCATCACCACAGACCACAATACCACACAATGACACAATCACAAATCACAACACCGTCCCTCAACGGTGGACGCTGGCCACCACCGGCATGGTGACCCCAGCCGAGGAAGGGCCGGACGGCCGGCCCCGGCCCTAAGTCCCCTAACCTCCAGCTCCAACACCGTCCCTCAACGGTGGATGCTGGCGCTTTGGCGACCTAGCCATGGCGCCTCCAGAGGAGGAAGACGCGACGTCAGGCACCACCAACCTACGAATAACAGGGGTGAGTCAGTGAGTGAGTGAAAGATGGACAGACACAACACAGATATAAGGTTAGGGTTAGGGTTAACCCTAACCTGCGCCACCGGAGCCCAGTGCCGGAGAAGAGGCCAAGGAGGCAGCCAGAGGAAGAGACAGACAACAGTTACAACAACGGCGAGCGGCGGCGGAAGGACAGACAGGCACGACGAACTCACATGGTACACCGGAGGAGGAGGGAAGAGGGGATAGGAAGGAAAGGAGGGAGGAGATAGTTAGCGAACTCAAGTCGAGGTGGATGAGCGGCGACGAGGTCACCGGAGCAGGGCCGGCGAGCTCAAGGCGAGTGGCGGCGAGCTCCAGGCGGCGGATCGAGAGCGAAAGACGAGACAGAGCAGATCGCGACTATGACGGAGTGGAGCGGGAGTGGAGTGGGATTAGGGTTGGGATGGGGCGGGGGGGGGCGGCAGGGCGAGCTCAAGGCGAAGCGCGGCGGCGAGCTCCAGCAGCGGCGGATCGAGAGCGCGAGCGACGAGATGATCGCTATCGTGATCGCGAGCGGCGGGAGTGGAGTGGGATTAGGGTTAGGGTTAGGGATGGGGGCGGGGCAAGATTATTTATATGGCCGTGGCCGCTGAGGAGGCGGGCGGCGGCTTCATGGCTGGCTGGCCGCTGGCCGGCCGGGCCGCTTGGCCGGGCTCTGGGCTCACACCGGGCCGCCTCTTTCACCAGTAGCGTGCGTGCTCGTGTGTGCATGCAGGCCTAGGTGGCGCCCCGAACGCACGCCCCGGTCCTTCAGTAGGGCCGCCCGGCCCGGCCCGATGTCCACCGGGCCGTTCCGTGCTTGGGCCAGGCCAAATTGCCGGGCCACGGGCGAGGCCACGAGCCCGCGGGCTGCATAGCCAGGTATAGTCGCATATCACGCTGCCGTGCGACACTTCCTGGATGGCGTCCACGTACTCATCCTCCTGTTCGGCATGCTAAGAGCTAGGCCCACAGGCCACAGGATAAAGCCTCCTCCAGTTAAGTAAAAGGGCCCCCGTGGGCTCTTTGCGTGTGTGGCCCAGATAACGAACAGTATAAGTCCTGCATGATCGTTTGGAGTTTGGGCCCGTGCCAGGCGAAGGAACGGATGAGTGTGCACGACTGCTCCCTCGTAAAATAATTCTTTTAAGCAAGTTATTTTAAGTTTAACTGAATTTATAGAAACAAGACCAATATATTTTAAAATATATTTATTTGTTGTGTTTACTATAAATTTGGTCAAATTAAGGATAGTGACATAGAGAGATTTTAGGAGTTGATTTATTTTAGAAATTAGAATGGAGACAATAGCATATACAGAGAATTCAGAAAAGCATGTTGAAATGGCCAAAATGTGCTCTATCACTATCTCTATGACCATCATCATAAAACTGAGTCAAGAAAAAAAATCTGAGTATTAAAAGCACGGATCACGACACGCGTCTCACTGTACGTCGCAAATACCACGTTAAATTCTCAATCAAATAAATCTTGTGTACATCGATTTGCCGCGGGGCCCCGCGGAGTTGGAATATTATAACACGTTGAGTTGAATTTTCTAAAACGAGCAACTCAATTCATGGATGCATTGGCAGTTGGCGCGTCTTACTCGTTGTTAACCTTGCGGCGCCTGAACCTGATGCTGCTGTTTCCGTACAAGTTAGGGCAGTTAGCGTAGCGAGAACAGAGTGCTGCGAGCGCACGGGAAAAGCCACCCTGCAGTCAAGCATCAGTGTTTCTGCAAGCTTTGCCTAGAACAGTTAAGCATTGGATCGTGTCAAGTTTTTTCCGGTGTCAAAAAATGGGTCAAATCCAGCAAATGCATTCGCACAATATATAAATCTCGCTTCCTGAAAAGTCAAAGATTTTTAATTTTGATCAAATATATAAAAAAAATATTGATGTTTATGATGCGTAGTAAGTATTATTAGGTTAATCATGAAATGTATTTTTATAACAAATCTATTTGGAAATCCAAATATAGATAATATCTTATATAAATTTAGTTAAACATAAAATTATTTAACTCCTCGTGAAGCCAGATTTATATTTCTTTTTAAGAGACAGAGTGAGTGGTAGTTGTGGCCACTGGGTCAAATTCAGAGGCACATCATGCTTTGTTTTATTTTATTTTATTTCTTTTCTTGGCGCCTGTGCACCACCCTACAACTGCAAGTAAGCCTGCCGACTGGCCTCGCCTTCAGAGCAGGCGGCGAGTCCCTAGCTCCCCATTACGGTTACGGGCGGTGCTTAGCTTTCCCAATCAGGTAGTAATCCGCACGCCAGAGGTAGAGAGAGGTAGGGGATAAGCAAGCACGGAGAGTGTTGATACCGAACGCCGCTCCGTTGAGAAGTAAAAAAGGACAGCGAGGACGATGCCGATGCGTACGTGCGGCGACTTTGGCGGCCCGGGCCCCGGCAGAGCTGGACGGACGGACGTGCACATGCAGTTCAGCCCGCCATTGACTTATCACTTGCGAAATATCTCGCGCGACGACTCCTCGTCATCGGCGACCTGGAACGGGTCAGAGCTCGCCGCCGGCGTGTGTGGTCCTGCCGGCAACCCGCCGCGTTCACGAACGAACGAGCACCACGGGCGCATCCGCCGGGCAGGTCTGGCTTCTTATTGCGCGCAGCTATTGAGGGCTCCACCTCCCCTCCACTTGGTCGTCAGCTAGGTTAGTGCAAACAGGCGCACGACGTGGAGCTCCCCGTCGCGTACCGGCGTGTACGCCGTCGGGGGGGCAGGCACCGGAGTCTGGAGCGCCGTTCGCCATCCGTACTCGGCAGCATCTCTCCTTGTCCTTGGAGCCCACTGGACCGCAACATCGGGCCGTCGATCGGGTCTTGTGTCGTGCTGCAGTGCTGCTAGTATGTTTTTTCCACGTGTGGATGCTTTCCTCCTGGTCCTGGTTCCTTCACAATCACAGCACAGCGCGCACACACGCATGCGTATCATCGTCCGGATCACACACAGAGTCGCCTAGGGCAGTCAACGTTCGAGAGACGTGGTAACTCGTCTGATTATGTGAACAGCCCGTCCGTAACTCGTCTGATTTTTTATATCGCGTTTATTACTGAGTCGGCTTCGGCAGTCAGCGGGCGATGCGAGAGGTCTGGTGACTACTGACTACCGTCTCCGTCCTCAAAATGTTACAGCACGATTCTAATGCTCTTCTTAGTTAGATTATTTAAAGTTTACTCAGTATGATATATTTAAATATATTCAGCGAAGAAAACATAGTTGATATCATAAATATTTATATTTTTTTCACAAACCCATTTTTTATTAAGAGGATAACAAGTTGTTAAATACACCAATGACCCTCAAACTTTTAAGGTGTGTCATATAGATCCATGAATTTTTAAAATGCATTTCTAGACCCCTAAAATTGTTAAGTGAATGTAGCATGCTAGAGTGGCACGTGTATATTTTGAATTTGACCCCTCTTGTTTTATTTAACCTTTGAAAATAGACACTGCTTTCTCCTTCCTGCTCCTCTCTTCCCTGCTACTGCTACAGAAGTTCGTATGGTTCCTGGAGTTGCATTTGTCGCTGCCCATGGTCTATTTTCTAAGGGAGATGAAGGGTCAAATGTAAAATTACATGCCACACTAGTATCTCAGGTCATCAAAATGGTCTACCACTTAACAAGTATAGAGACTCATAAATGCATTTTCAAATACAACACACATTTAAAGATTTGAGGGCCGATGATTCATTTAACTCCTAGATTTTATATCCAACTACGTAGTATGTGATATTACACTACAACATCAACACCTCCTTTTGCAATGCAAATATGCGTTGCTAAAAGTCCATATATGCGTTGGCAGGGTCTATACTAACGTATATAATATGCGTTGCTTAAAGTGGCGTTGCAAGGATCTTTAGCCACACTTATTTATCTGTTGGTAACACATACTAATAACCATTGCAAAGTTGCAACGCATAATTACGGGTTATGGCAATGTTTACATGCATTTGTACAAACCATAGGCGAACTACTTCTATGGTTTGTTGCAACATATTGATTTACTTTGTTGCAACACTTATATGTGTTGCGAGGAATA